CATCCAACTACTGAGGGATCTGGATGCAGAGATCCATGACTAGGCCCCGGGTGGATCTCTGGGAGTCCAATTAGCGAGAATGAGGAGGGTTTATATGAGCGAGAATTGTTGAGACCAAGGTTGGATAAATCACAGGGGCAAATAGCCAAATGAATGGAAACACATGAACTATGAACCAATGGCTGAGGGGTCCCCACTGGATCAGGCCCCCTGAATGGATGAGACAGTTGATTGGCTTGATCTGTTTGGGAGGCATCCAGGCAGTGGGACCAGATCTTGTGCTCATTGCATGAGTTGGCTGTTTGAAACCTGGGGCCTATGCAGGATTGTTTGGCTCGGCCTGGGAGGAGGGGACTAGACCTACCTGGACTGAGTCTACCAGGTTGACCTCAGTCTGTGGGGAAGGCTTTGCCCTGGAGGAGATGGGAATGGGGGGGGGGGGGGGGGTTGGGGGGAAGGTGAGGGGGACGGGAGGGGGGAGAACAAGGGAATCCGTGGCTGATATGTAGAACTGAATTGTATTGCAAAATAAATTAATAAAAAAAAAAAAAAAAAGAGATCAATGGTGCTGAGCTCTTGAGGAATATCTTACATGTAGTGACATTTCTGGGTGGGTGCACTTATGTGAATGGTGTGAGGATGCAGGATGTTTCTGCCTCTTTATAAGTTGTCCTTTGTACAACTTAGCCCTCTTCTGATGCCCTCTTCTCATGGAAATCACTGCTCTATTTGTTTCCTGTAGTTCTGCTTTTCCACAGAATGTCTTATTTGTGTTGTGACCTCTTGTATTTGGTTTCTGTCTTTAAGTATAAGATCTCGTCGGTTCCTTCAGGCTAGGCACACTTCCATACTGTTCTCTATGCTACTGAGCAGTGCTGTGCCGTGCTGCGCTGAGCTGTACAGCACAGCAGTCAGTTATTTACTAGTGATGGACGTGCTGGTTTTTCCTTTCTCTTTCCACAGTTTTGAATAGACTGTCTTGGAATATTTGTCCACAGGCAGTTTGATGTATTTTGGGTAAGTATTCTGGATTGGTTAGTATCTCAGACACTTACAGGTGTCTTAAATAACAGACAGATGGGTTTTCCAAGTAGTTGTATGGCTCTCCATTCCTGCTAGCCATGCACAGAAGGTCAACTGGTGTCTGTTTTGGTAGCTCTTTGCACTGTCAGTTCCAAAAATTTGAAAGGTCTGTTTGAATCTTTTGCCCATGTTTAAAATGAGCATTTAAATCTGAATTAAGGGAGTTTAAAAATAATTCACATGCCTGTTTTACTAGAACAGTGTCTGAGAAGTGATTTCTTCTGATCTACAACTTTTAAAAAATTTTTAAAATTTTTAGTGTCTTTCAAGAGATTTTTTTATTTTAATGAATCTAATTTTTCATGTTCATGTTTAGTGACTTTTATTCCAAAGAACTCTTTGCCTCCTTAAAACTTACTTTAATGATGTTCTAACTACATTTAAAAATAATATGATTAGCATATTTTCTTTCCCCCAGCTTCCAGAAAGACATGTTTTAGGTAGACAAAATATCTTTAAATTTCAAGGAATGGGTTTGGTTACTAATTTTACAAAGCACAATATAGACAGGATTGTCTATGCTTACAGCTGTTTGATATTCAGTAGCATTTTTTCCAGATTGATAGTCGTACTATTTTATATTTAGTGAGTCTTCAGACAGACACACTCTTCATATACCACAACAACTTTTTATTTTCTCTTGGTTCATGTCTCTGAGGTGACTCTGCAGTCATTAACTGGGAAGTGTGCTCTGCCTCCCATTTTCAAATCACTTGAGAGTCCCTTGTATTGTATCTGCTGAGGGTTGGAGTTGGAGTGTATACATGAAATTGTTGTTCATTCAGAGAATTTCCATTTAGTCCAAGTTCTCCCAAATTCTATTTTCAACTTGTTCTGCTTGGTTCCAAAGGATTTAGTCTTTTTTTTCAAGCTGTTTTCAATCTTTTTGAAAGCCTATTCAACGAATTTGAGTTCTTTGGGGTGGGGGTGATCTATGTATTTCACGAGCTGTCTCTCCATGATATTTCTTCTTGCCTTCTGTAGCTTTCTATTGTGAATTGGTCTTTTACAGAGGAAAATCTGCATATGTACATATGTTTTTTTTTTTTTTTTTGGTGGGGTCTCTGGGCTGTGAAATGATATTATGGAGAAATCTGTGACTATTTGATGTTGGAGTCTGTGATGTGGTTTAGCATTCCTAGATTATTTACTGGCTTAAAGCTCCTTTATCAGGATAGCCCAGTCCACAATAGCCCTGGGCACAGGTCTAGAGATGATGTCAGCTCACCTTCAAGACCTATGTATAGAATGACCGTCTTGCTACCTTTGAAGGTTGATGAGCAGGATGGTGAGTGTGTGTGTGTGTGTGTGTGTGTGTGTGTGTGTGTGTGTGTGTGTGTGTGCATGTGCACATGCACAGAAACACATGTGTGTTCATCCACCTGTGTATGTGTAGGAGCAGAATTCCTGCTAATACCAACTGTTAGCAATATTCCAGCTCATTACGTGGGTGTCGGGGCACTCACGTCTTAAGTGGACTCCACTCTAAGCCCACTCGCCCAGTAGCACTAGCTGCCTCTTATTGTTCAAGCTTTGCCTTCATTCTTAAAAATCATCTGTGTTCAGTCCTCCAAATACCCTCACCCTAGGGTTATCGGTAAGCACTGCCATGACTCGCCTTATATCAGTTCTGGGAATCTGAACTCAAGTCCTCATGTTTCTATGGCAGGCACTTTACCAAACGGGTCATCTCCTAAACCTGTGGAAATAAGCTTTAATGCAAAAATTACCCAGTCTTTTATGCATGTTAGCAGGAAGTGTGTCTCTCTACAATAGATGATTGACCATATTGCCAGAAATCCAGTCTTCGTGATAACTCTAGGTTTTACTAAAAGTGCCTTTAGAACTCAGTCTCTAAAATTTTTTGCTATTTATGTTTACTTTGGGGATTTCAAATCAAAGACTGGATTGTTTTTCCAAAGGCTGGAAGACAAACCCTCCTTCATGGAGCATACAACTTACAACTTTCATAGACCTTATGAGAAGGCCTTTAAAAGCTTCCTTTCTGGACAGTTGCATCCCCACCACCTGAGTTCCTGTTCAGTTTTCCATTTCCATTTTCAGCTAGGTAGCCCATATGCTTCAGTTTTGCTCTGGGACACCACATCCTCTTGCTTTGATGTCAACATCAGTAAATGTGCACAGGCATTCATCTCTGGTTGTGTCTTACCCTTCTTCTGTCACAAAGTGATCAATGGATAACTGTTCTAATAATGTTCCATTTTCTCCATGTACATCTGGAGACTTATAGAGAATAGAAAATTAACTCTTTTATGAGCAAGCAACTCCTAGGTTTTTGCATCCATCTGAAGTGGGGCGTGGCTTGGGATTTTATCACACAATAGTCTTCTCCCAGACCACAAGCATAGACTTCTACAAGGAAGAACTGTGTAATGAGATAACGTATAACCACCACCCTGAGACCTTGTGTAGTAACTACACAGAGAAGGATACAGCCGTGGAGGAGACAGGAAATGGAGAAGGATCTCTGGGAGTCTGAATCAGACTCTGAGGACACTAATAGATTTGAAATGATGAAAAAGGAACTTCTAACAGAAAGGCAACATCATGAAAATACAATGTGTGTGTAATATGAGGGTAGGAAAGGATCCCAAATGTTTTCCACTTCAGCCACACAAGGGAAACAGCACACAAGGAAGGCCCTTCAACATGCAGAGTAATTCCATGTTTCTCATGTAAATACCTCAACAAGGAACACTTTCATGGGTGGGTAAGTTCATAGCTACATCATCTTGTTTAGTAAAACAAAAACTAAAAGGCAGACATCTTGTTTACTTATAGGGACTCAGAAGCATCTCTAACCATAACCTTTTCATTTTCCTTACATGCTTTTAGACAGAATGATGTGAGTGACCCCTCTTTTATGGGAAAAATCTTTTTATGTTTAGTGTAATGTTTGTTTGGGAAGCAAAATGTGAAATACTTCTAGATGGCCAAAAGGGGAGAAGGGCATAAAGAGAAATTGGAAGTCTCTCCTGGTACCTCCTTTCCTCAGAATTTCTCTTCTCAGAGTGATTTCTCCAGTACTAGTGCATGGGAATGTATTTTTTCCTCTAGTAAACTTAGCTCTGTTTCCACTTTGAAATATTTTGTGTATATGTGTGTGTGTGTGTGTGTGTGTGTGTGTGTGTGTGTGTGTGTGCATGTGTGTGGTGTCTCTGTGTAGTGATGTGTGTGCTTGTACACATGTGTGGTTGTATTTTTAGAGGATAGAGGACCATACTGGGTGTCTTTCTCCACCTTTGTATTGAGGCAATGTCTTTCACTAAACTCAGAGCTCACTGATGGACTAGACTGGCTTGTCAGCAAGCTCTGGAGATCTGTCTGCTATATCACTAGACTACTGTGGCGTTAAGATCTGATGTCTGTTTCTTGCATGATTGCTGAGGGGCCAAACTCAAGTCCTTATGTTTGTATGGCAGGCATTTTGTCACTGGAGTGACGGCATCCCTGCCCTCAGCTATTTATTTACATCTTGAAGCACTCCTACTCTTGGTGACAGAAGACATGAATTCACTACATCCCACAGCATGGGCTCTAGAACAGCAGACCCACGAGCTTCCCACCAAAAGGGTTATTCTTGTAGGACTTGGCGGTGTCTACCCCGTGACCATCATTCATATCTGTGTGTTTCACACCACAACTAATGGGAGTTCCATAGTCTCTCCAGGGTTCTACAGGGATCTTAACCTTCAAGGGCAAGAGCAGGCTGGGAAAGCTGTCACACACATGTTTGTAATCACCCGTATTTGCATTGCTACAAATAAAAGATACATTCTTCCTGAATATGCTCTGTGGAGATGGTTAGGAAAATCTGTTCCTAGTTAAGCTTCCTCCCTTTGATACATGTTTCCAATTGCTAACCAAATGCTGCTTTAATTTTTGTTTATAGGAAGCTGAAGCAAGTAAAAGAAGACCGTTGTTTGGAGCATGTGCTGGGCTTGGCTAGCCCAGAGACTGATGTCACCAGCAGTCAGAGGTCCAGGAAGACGCCACCTGTTGGACATAGGAAAACTCAGTAAGATGCTGCTACTCTGTTGTATTTTGTGTGCCTGCAGGGTGGAGGCTTAACTAGTAGAATATGCTTCTCATGGGAACTGAAGGAACAGTATTACCAGTGTGAAGAGCCAGGGGGACTCTGGCTGTCACGTAACAATTGCATGGCAAGCTTAAAGCCTTTCCTGCTATAAACAAACGTTCATAATTGGGCCCAGGTTTCCCCTGTCTTTTCTTGTAACCTTCTTGTTCACAGGCACCCCACACTCTGTTATCACCTCTCCTATTCGGCTCACTTTCCTTCCCACTCATGTTTTCCTTTCCACACCCACACCTCCCACGTCCCACCACATATCTGCCTCCCTTGCTTCTCAGGAGCTTCGCGCCTCCATGTGCCGTGGCTCTCTAATTCCTTCTGTGTTGTTAAGTGGAGGCACTTGGCAGCATGATTTGTCTTAGGGTCCCAGCTTCGTCCTTCTCCTTTATTCCCCCTGGAAGCCCATCCTCATTTCCTGTTTCCTCCATGACTGTACCCTTCTCTGTGTAGACAAACATGTATGCTTATGTATGCTTTACGGTCCTCTATAAAGAGTAGAGAGACTAGTGTTGGGATTAATCCTTCTACCACTTCTCTTCCTGCATGTCCCATGAGTTTCTCAACATGAAGAAAGTTTTCTTTCTAACATTGCCAGTTAGAAATAACAGAGAAAACATGTAAAGATGTGGCCTGCCAACTTCTGAAAGTTATTGAGATTGAGTACACCAAGGTCTCCTATGGAGGAGTTGTGTTTGATTCCAACTGGGGTCTCAAAAGAGTTTTTCCGAAGTCATTGTGTCTCACTGAGGCTGGATATTGACGCTGCTGTTGTGTTTGCAGCCTTGTTTACCAGGCAGATAAGAACCTTCCTGCGTCTCATCAACAGACTCTGAATTATGTTTTGCTTACATTAATTTATAACTAATGTTATCTATATTTTGTATTAGAAGCTAAAAACCTCTGTGTTTCAGTGTCTCAGCTGAGATTTATGGTGAACCAGAAGCCTCCCACAGCAGTACGTTATACGGTCACATGTAGCACTGGAAAGCTGGCCTCCAGGCTAGTGACTCTCCACAGTCCATTTGGACTGCAATGTGGAGAATGTAGGACTGTTAATTGGAAAGGACCGGCCATTTCCCCTTCCTCACCTTGACACCCCAATTCTCAGAGAAAAGAACTGCGTATGCCTTTTGTGTCCAGGTGTCCGATCCCAGTTCTTACGTTGAGACAAGATAAGTGAAAGTGTGGATGCTCAGTTTTGCTTTTTCATTTGCTCTCTACGTATTGATTATGTATTATCTGAAAGGCGCTGCGCTCCTTTGTGAAACTCAGGTCAGATTCAGGCTTCAGTGATCAGTATGTCTGGATGGTAAGGTTGCTATGTTTTCTTGATAGCATGGACTAAGCTTGTGCATAACTGGTGATCACTAAGTACCCTGTTCCTTGAGGCCACCAAGATTTTTGGCATCTTAGACACTGCAGGCTTGCCACATCTCAGCATCAATGCCAGTAAGTCTATAGGTTAAACTGAGGTCAGTCTGGTGGCCTGGGACTAACATGACTGTGAAATACTTCCACACAGCTAAGTGAGAAGAAAGGCAGCAGGTCAGAACTCAGATGTCTCTCCAGGCTCCTCCCTCCCTCAGAATTTCCCTTCTCAGAATGATTCTCTGGTACTAGTGCATGGGAATTTAATTTTTCCTCTAAAAGATTGGCTTTATTTCCACTTGAAATTTTATTGGTATGTGTGTATGTGTTGTGTGTGCCAGTGTGTGCATGTGCACATGTGCTTGTATGTGTAGAAGCTAGAGGCCCATATTAGGTGTCTTTCTCTCTTTCTCCACCTTGATTTTGAGGCGGCATTTCTCAGGGAACTCAGAGCTCACTGACTGGCTAGGCTGGCTTGTCAACAAGCTCTGGGATCATCTGTCACCTCCCCAGACTACTTTGGGGTTAAGATCTCATGTCTGCTTTGTGCATGGTTACTGAGGGGCCAAGCTCAAGTCCTTTTGCTTGTTAGGTGGCATGTTGTCAATGGAGTGATGGCATCCCTACGTGGGGGCTAAAGTGGGATAATTGGTGGCCAGAAAGTCAGCAGTTACAGCTCACAAAATGTTGAAAGGAACTCAGATTCCAGGCTCATGGAGGCTGTGTTCCCCCAAACTGTTCTTACTGTCTTGAGTATGGTTTCCATCTCACAAATCCTTTAGCAATCTCTTGCCTCCACCCTTCAGTTTACTTGTTACAATTGTGTGGTTTCTGCCTGTGTCCAGACACCTGATGTCTTGGATTCTTCAAGTGCTGTTTCACACATGTGTAAGCAACATGTAAGAAAGCAAGTTAATGGTCTTGACTTAGGTGTTATCTGGGCAGTGCTAGTATAACCATGTTATCGGGCGGGGGGGGGCATTTCTTTTTCTGAAATTAGCTTTTAAAATGACTTTCCTATTTTTTAATGGTTTACCAGGATATTCGGTATGCTAGACATCATATAAGTATCATCATAAAGGATCTTCTTCCACAAACATTTGGAACACCCACAACAGGAGTGCTGAAATTCAATAGAGTAGAGTGAACCTGAAGAGCTACATCAGGTCTCATCTTCTATAATATAATGAACCTCTGAGCCCAGCACTGAGTGAAGAAAGAAAGGTCTGGTTAAGACCCTTTTGTTATTCACACAAAGAAAAAAACCAGTTTGCTCAAGGTCATGCGAATGTTTTAGAGGAAGGACAAGCACGGAACCCTGGTTTAGGCTCTCAGCCCAGTTCCTCCCCCGCATCTGTCTGGCCTCAGATGCCAAATATTTTTGGAGTGGTGCAGGTGCTGCCATTGCAACTATTGTAGAGTAACACATCTGCCTTCCATAGGCGCCATGTGATGGAAGGCTATCTGTTAGAGTGTTTTACTGTGGGAATGCTCAGTCAGGTGCAAAATAGGATACACAAATGAACCTTCATATGCAGAACACCCACTTTCAACCACTACCAGTAATTTAGTGTTTTTAATATTCCATTTCAAAATTACTGAGCATTTTAAAATATAACATCATACTATTTCTCCTGCTAATATTTCTGTTAAAATGTAATTGCCATACTTAATATTACCAATTTCCTAATCTCATCTCATCCTCAGGCTACATTTAGTCATCAATCTTCTCAAGCAAGTTACATTAGACAGGAGGAAGAGTCTTCAAAATGTCTAGGGGCATGTTTTGGAAAGACAGTTTTTCTCTACCACTTAACAGTTCTGATATTTGTGAGTTAAAGAACTGAATAATTTTCTCTAGAAATTCCTGTGTTGCATATTGGATGATCACCTCCTCAAGGTGCTCTTTGACATATTTCCTTAGTCCACATATTTTCTTTGAGTAGGAAAAGCTCCCCAGAGGCTTCATTGATATGAGTTGAAGTTTTGGCAAGAATGGGTTGCTAGTGGTATGTGTATGTTCAGATCACATCACAGCAAGTTGCACCCGGCAGTCCCACTTCTAGAGGTGTTAAAATTGATTGGGGTGGAGTTTAGGTATTTTGAATCTGATCCATTTACTATGAAGTTCTATCAGTTCTCCATCATTGCCCTGAACAGCCATTTCTCAAGGGCTGTAAAATTCTGATTTCTAATTATGTCATTGTTTCTGCAATTATTAATAGGAACTCTTGTGTCAGGAGCATTCTCCCATGCATTTATGTTTACTTTCAAATACAGAGCACATAAGGAAAGCCAACCAGTGCCTTTATTTCAACTTTTAGAAAAACAATTGAAAACAGCAGCTGTGGTGTTGATTGAGTCATGAATAAGAAGAGCTTGAAGAACTCATTTGTTACAAATCTGCTTCTTCAACCTGATATCAGCATTCCCTTTGAGGATTTTCAAATTGTCTTGTTTAGAGGGTGTTCCTTCAGGTGCTTGACAGGATCACCTATCGCTTCCTTGACATCTGGCAAAATACAGGCCTCAGATTCATGGAGACACAGTGTCCCAAGCCTGGGATGGGTTTTTGTTAAGGAGTCTTGACTCCTTTTAGAAAGAAGCATTCCCTTACTTTGTACATGGGCTTACTATGCCCTTCAGGCTTTAACAATCACAAATTATATTACTACTTTATATATAGTTAACATTTTTGTTTAATGCACATGACTTCACATTTTTATCTCTTCCTCTTCTTACAATGAGGATCTTGGTATCTGATGCTACACAGCCCATCCACAGCCCCTCAGAGCCCCTATGCATAGAGATGTAACTCCATGAGCCTCCCTGGAAACTGACCCATCCAGCTCCTCTTCTGGATGCTTAATAGTATACTGTGCACACTGTAGGCACTCAACTCTTTGCAAAATTAGATTGAAGTCCAAGTAGTTCTTGAGTGCTTGTATTTTCTGGGGCACATGGAAGTAACAGCCCTGACTTGAGAGAATATTGACCTTATTCTAGCCCAATTTCCTCATGTACCCTTGGGAGGTCAATGAGTTGAAGTAATGTGCAAGGACTAATGAAAAGGAAAACATTTGTAAGACACGTAACTAAACACAAAGCCACGTGTGTTCCAAGTGACTGCTTAGAAGCATGGAAATATAAATGTTAAGGAGAGTGCTGGATTAACAACACATTATGTGACTTTGTTGGGAGCTGACCCTGATGTGTCCAACAGGGAGGAGGAGAGGAGAGAGAAGCAGAGGGCATGTGGCTTGTCAGTTACGAACACAAGTAGTAGCAGTCCTTCTCTCCTCAGAAGACAGGGCTGGAGGGGAGAAGGAGGAGGAGACAGGAGAGTAGTGGCTGCTGAGTCTTTGACAGGTATTTCTCCTTAAACAACATTGCCCTTCACCTCTCCACATTGAAAAAGCTGGATGCCCCAGTTTGAGCAGGGAAGGTACGCAGGAGTGTGGATTGAGTGGCACATATTCTGTAGACCTTTACATTCCCAAAAGTCCTAGTTTATTTATTTCTAGGACTTGTTCTCTGTTGTTGACTGAAAATCGAAA